CGTGGGAAGCCACTCCCAGGAGCCTGGGCAAAGTGGGTGGCAATATTGCCACCTTTCCGCTCTTCCTAGTATTTCCCCAACAGGGCAGTTTTGTTCACTGCCTTGACTCCACTTGCCCCCATGGCCTCCGCCATCTGACTGACTCAGCGGTGGATTGCCAACAGGTGGTTTCAGCATGTGCCCAGGACGCCATAAACCCATTCATTTTGGGGAAGAACGTTTGACTTCAGAGAAGAGCAGGGGAAAGTCCCACGAAAAGGGAGGAAGGTGGCATCTAAATGTTGTTCACTTTCTTTCAAGCAGTTCATTATTTTTTCTTTCACTTTTATGGTAAAAATATATATTTATTTGTTTTATAAGCAATATAAGCATATATTAATCTATTTTATATATAAATGGATTATAAAATAGGAGAGGCCTTTTCTGGTTCTTCACTGACTACCCACAGGACTCCAAATGCCCTGTGATTGTCACCTACACCTGCCCAGAGCCCGGGGTGAGGTATCCTAGAAACGAGACGTAAGCCTCAAGTTGCTCACATGATTCAGAAGCCTTCTAAGAACCACCAGCCAGCCCCGTGTGGCTTCGCGCCATCGGGTGAGCTGTAGACTTCCTGGGTGGCTGCCAGTCAAGAATGGCCGGGTGATGGGCTTCTGAAAAGTCCCAGCGCTGAACCCCTCCAGAGCCCAGCTCTAATCTGCAATGCATAGCAAGTGCCAGGGATTGGAAGCCAATCCACAACTGGCTTGGGGGTTAGGAAGGCACCTTTCTGATCAGACCTCAGGAGCAATATTGCTGCAGACGGTGATAACCCGGGAAGCTGTTAAAATGCAGGTTCCTGGACAGCGTGAGATTCTGAGTCAATCAGGACATGTGAGGCCCAGGGATCTGAAAGTTGTAAACCAAGTTCCCAGGAGATCCAGTGCTGACCCTGCTGCCTAACCTGTACCAGGGAGACACCCCACAAGCCCCCAGTGACTAGCACCCTGTGGCCTGTGCAGGGCCCCATAGAAGGGCAAGTTTTGCAGCTTTAAAATGCCATAAACCTGGGTTAGAAAGAGTTCAAATCCAGTCCCCATATCAGGTAAATCTGGTGCATGAGCCCTCTTTAGTGTATTGAAAAGAAAGGATGTTACTTTGAGGACTAAGGTGTGCCTGACCCAAGCCGTGGTACTTTCCATCGCCTCATATGCATGTGAAAGGTGGACCTGGAATAAGGGAGACTGAAGAAGAATCAATGCACTTGAATTGAGGTGCTGGAGAAGAATATTGAAAGTACCATGGACTGCTAAAGGGACAACCCGATCTGTCTTGGAAGAAGGACGGCTAGAGTGCTCCTGAGAGGCAAGGGTGGCGAGACTTCATATCACATACTTTGGACATGTTGTCAGGGGAGACCAGTCCCTGGAGAAGGACATCGTGTTTGGTAAAGTGGAGGGGCAGCGAAAATTGAGAAGGCCCTCAAGAAGATGCATTGACACAGTGACTGTAGCGATGGGCTCAAGCATGGGAACACTTGTGTGCGCGGTTCAGGACTGGGCAGTGTTTTGTTCTGTTTTGCATAGGGGCGCTATGGGTGGGAACCGCCTCTTCCTGGGCCAGGGGGGAGTCTGCTTTGCTCTCACATCCCTGTGTTTCTTTCCAGGTTCATGCCTCCTGACGACCCCCTCGGCCGCCGAGGACCCACCCTGAGCAACTTTCTGAGCCGGAAGCCCAAGCCCCCTGCCCCGTCCTGGCAGCACTGTCCCTACGGTGGGTGGTGCCCACTGCCCCCTCCACCTGTTGAGGGACTGGGTTGTGGCAGCTCAGGGAGCAGTAGCAAGTACTGGCTTGGTGGTCAGCAGCCTGGGTTCTGGCCTGGCTTCTGCCCCTGACCAGCTGTGTGAGTCTGGAGAGGCTGTTTAACTTCTGTGAGCTGTCCTTTCTGGGCATGGTGATTGGAAGGATTGGACTGACTCCATGGGGGTCTGTGGCTCCGGGGATGGGGGTGGGTTGGGTTGTGGGGACTGTACACAGGACAAAACTGGGAAGCAGGGAGGCTGAGGGCACTCCCCCCCCCCTCACACACACACAAACTCAAACTTCCGTTGTTCAGTCTCTTCTCCTAAAACCCGGGCACCTATGCCCTCATCTTACAATACCTCTCCTCCACCCCGATAGACTTTGACCAATTAAGGACTGGTTCCCTCCTGGGATGCCAGCCTCCAGCCAGCTCTGCCATTAACTCTGCTTTGGCTGAGTTACATCAAGCCCAAGGCTTGGGTTTGTGTTGGTAGAAGTTTACCAAAGCCTTGGGTGGCGGTGTGGTCACATCTTGGTCACGTGGGGTGACCACACGGTACCTCTGGGCTGGTCCCTCCTGCCCCCTTCACTCTCAAAGTGTCTCGGTTTGGGAGAATCACCTTTGTTAGAACCATCTGTACAGAGAGGGCAGTGGGTAGCCCAGGGACTGGATGGTGGAACTAAGGCTGCTCAGTTGGTGCAGGCTCATGGGCATGGCTCCCCACCTCCCCAAGACTGGTCCCTGGGAAAGTGGATGTTGGGAGCTTGGAAAAGATTGGCCTCAAAGCTTGATCTCAGTCCAGGTCAGAGAAGGATGCCCCCTTTTCTGGGCACTGTTGGTGCCGCTACTCCAGGGAGAGTGGGGGACAGCTGGACACCCCTCCCCCTGACACTCAGGACACTTCTCGCCACCTCGGGGTGGGGCCTCAATTCGAAGGCATTCTGTGGAGTCTGCGGTGGCCAGGTGGCCTTCCCGGAGGAGTGAGTCTCCAAGGAGTAAGGCCGGGAGGGTCTCACCAAAGCCCCCTCTCCGCTTCCCCCTCTTCCAGGCAAGAAATGCACGTACGGCATCAAGTGCAAGTTCTACCACCCCGAGAGGCCGCACCGTGGGCGGCTGGCCGTGGCTGACGAGCTCCGAGCCCAAACCCGGGCCGCACCGGGCTCAGGCTGCGTGGCGGCCGGCAGCTCCCCTGGCGCGGGCAGCCGCAGCCTCCTTCCCGGGCGGCCGGTCCCCGACATAGCGGCGATAGAAGGCCGCTTCTCGCGGGTGGCGGTGGGCGACGCCCCGGGGCTGCTTGGGGCGAGCTGCCCTGGGCCCAGTGGTGGCCTCGCACCTGGCCAGCGCTGCCCGTCCCCGCGGGCAGGACCTCCGCGTCCCGGGGCGACAGGGCCCGCCCTGCCCAGCCTCGCGAGCCCCTTCACCCCCGGCGACCACCCACAGCTGCTCGGCCCGCAGGGTGGCCGCTGCCCCCGGGACCTTCCCCGCGAGTCCCCGGAGGAGGCCTGGATCCGCTTCCCCGGACGCTTGGCCTGGGCAGAGCCCGCCTGGGGCGACTGCACCTTTGGGGGTCCTCCAGCGTGTGCGCCCCCCGCAGTAGATGGGGTGCTAGACGCTTGGCCGGTGGCGCGCAACGCGCTTGGTCGCTTCTTCCCGCTCGAGCAGGTGGACCGCGGGGTGGCCAGGTTTCCAGAGCAGTCGGACAGGGCCCTTCCCATCCCGAGAGTCCAGCCGGCTGTGCCGCTGGGAGACCCCAAGGGGACTCGTCCTGGTGACTGCCAGTAGGGCCCTGGTGCCCTCCTGCAACGCGGATGAAGGGACGATTATGAGCCTGGTCCCTAGCCTGCCCAGCCTGCAAACCGAAATCAACCCAGAGCCATTGCCCTGGCGCAGGGCTCAGTAGAACTGCTTCACGGTGGATCCCCTGTGCATACTTGCTTCCTAAAGATTGGGGATTGGACCGCACACCTCTGGGCTAGCAGCCAACCGTCAGCCACTGCCCATCATGGCTACTTGCCCACCACCCAGGTGGGCTGTGGGGACTCCTTTCTTTAAAGATGGCCAGGGACCACGGTTTCTCTCATGGTCTGTGCCTGTGGTGGCACGTGGTGACTATCACGAAGGGCGTGTCACCTGGAATCCAGTTCTGGGGAAGAAGGCTGGTTGGCTGCATCCCTAGGGGAGTGGTTTCGTATGGGATGGAAGTCTGCAAACCCCACTGCAAGCCCCAAGGGTTTGTGGGAACTAGTCCCAGCTGTTCTTTTCTCAAATTGCAAGTGAGACACAGCAGAGTCAGCAATCAATTAGTGGGGCAGCACCAGAACTGTGGGCCTGGGGCCTGGGGGAGGGGCACACCTCACAGATAAGGCTATGTGTTATCTCCTAAAACTTTATGTGTTATCTACACATAGCCCTGTGAAATTGACTTACTATGGGCCCTAGTCAAAAGCTTAAACAAATACTGGTAAATAGTCTTGAACTCCATTGCATCAGATAATGTCTGAAATCCGTAGTCAGGTGACCAGTGGAGGTTTGGTACCCATAGGTCTTTATGTTTATTATTTTTAAAAATCATTTTATTGGGGGCTCATACAACTCTTATCACAATCCATACATCCATCTATTGTGTCAAGCACATTTCTATATTTGTTGCCATCATCATTCTCAAAACATTTTCTTTCTACTTGAACCCTTGGTATCAGCTCCTCATTTTTACCCCTCTCTCCCCACTCCCCTCCCTCATGAACCCTTGATAATTTATGAATTATTATTTTTTCATGTCTTACACTGCCGGATGTCTCCCTTCACCCACTTTTCTGTTGTCCATCTCCCAGGGAGGAGGTTATATGTAGATCCTTGTAATCGGTTCCTCCTTTTTACCCCACCCTCCCTCCACCCTTGGTCCTGAAGGGTTTATCTGTCCTGGATTTCCTGTGTTTCCATTTCTTATCTGTACCCTCTGGTATAGCCGGATTTGGAAGGTAGAATTGGGATCATGATAGTGGGGGGGGGGAAGCATTTAGGAGCTAGAGGAAAGTTGTATGTTTCATCGTTGCTATACTGCACCCAGACTGGCTCGTCTCCTCCCCACAACCCTTTTGTAAGGGGATGTCCAGGTGCCTACAGATGGGCTTTGGGTCTCCACTCTGCACTCCCCCTCATTCACAATGATATGACTTTTTGTTCTTTGATGCCTGATACCTGATCCCATGGACACCTTGTGATCACACAGGCTGGTGTGCTTCTTCCATGTGGGCTTTGTTGATTTCAGCTAGATGACTGCTTGTTTATCTTCAAGCCTTTAAGACCCCAGATGCTATATCTTTTGATATCTGGGCACCATCAGTTTTGTTCACCACATTTGCTTATGCACCCAGTTTGTCTTCAGCGATTGTGAGCATCATGGAATGCCAGATTAATAGAACAAAGTGTTCTTGATTTGAGGGAGTACTTGAGTAGAGGGGTATTTATATTTCTAAGCTCATTCGTGAGGGTCATTGGATTGTAACTCTGATGTGTGCATCCTCTGGTCATGTGAGGTCACACGCCACCCGGTCCCTGGATGGGTGGCAGGCATTTTATCTTGAGGGTCTACTTCTGGTGCCTTCACCCTCTTTGTGCACACAAACCACACACACCTGCCACAGACAGATATCACATACACACACAATACATCCACCACTCCACACACAACCACCCCCAACACGTGCCATACACACACACATACACACTATGCATATATCATACACATACACATCACACACACACCACCCATACTGAGTGCACATAGATATGCACTCAGTGTTGCTCAGTATTAAGCGCTCCCATTTTTCCAGCTAGTTACCATGGTGGTTTCCAGTAGCTTCTAAGCATTGCCTCACAGCTGAGCCCAGGTCCTGTGAGCCACCGCTTCTGCTCAGAAACCTCCTGGGGAGTGAGCTTCAGCCCACAGGTTTGTTGCCACCTTCTCTGGCTGCTCTTGCTTCCAGCCAACCGCTGCTTTGAGGTTGGCCAGGGCAAGGACCCCTCCTCCCCCGCCCACTTCCTCTTGGCAGAGAGTGGGCACTTATCTCTGGGCAGTACCTTCCCCTTCCTGGACATGACTCCAGCTTACCAGGTCTTGGCTCATTTGTTCGTAAGAGTATGCCAGCTTGCCCATTCCAGAAGAATGTGAAATCCAGTCTTGACTGTCACTTCCTGGGGTCCAGCAAGGGCAGAGGGAGATCCCTTATTTATATCAGGCTGCCTGTCATGTGGGGACAGCCCAGGAGGCACCTCAAAATATTCCATTCCTAGCCATCTTATTCATAGCAAGTATTGGCTGCCAGTAGATTCTGACTCACAGTGACCTTATAGGACAGAGTGGAATGGCCTCACTTGCTAAATATTCTGATCGTGTGCTTTTCTGTGACTCCTTCGAGGACGTGCTGGTGGTGCACTGAGTTACACCTTAGGGTGCTAATTGCAAGGTCAGCAGTTCAAACCCACCAGCCCCTCTGAGCGAGAAAGATGAGGCCTTCTCCCTTACAGGTGAATAGAGAGCCGTTCGACTCTGCCTTCTCGGGTCACTATGAGTCAGTCAACTCAATGGCAAAAGCCAAAAGCCACCTCACTGCTGTCGAGTCAATTCTGACTCCTAGCAAGCCTACAGGACAGGGGAGAACTGCACCTGTGGGTTTCCCGACTGTGACTTGATGGGAGTAGAAAGCCTCATCTTTCTCCTGAGGAGTAGCCAGCTGGTGGTTTTGAACTGCTGACCTTGTGGTTAGCAGCCTAATGCATAACCTCTATGCCAGCAGTGAGGCATTTTTAGATAAGTTTATTTTTAATGGTTCCTTTCATTAAAACAACACAAGCAAAATTATTATGGTAAAATAAATATAACAAAAAATGTTAACCAACCTAACTACTTCTCTATGTAATTTAGGGTCATCCGTTTTATTCACCATGTTGTACAACCATCTCCGCTATCCATTTCCAAATCATCTTTATCCACTATCTTTCCAGCATGGCTTGAGCCAGCTCTCCCCCCGCACCCCACCCTCTTTTCCAAAGAGGTCCCTGCCCCTGGAATTCTGCCTGGGTGTTTGGGGCCTAGTCTTTCTAGAGCCATTGCATTCTTCTTGTGACGTATTTCTCCTTCGTCTCTTGACAAGACGTGCTTCTGTTGGGGCTGCTCCCTGCCCCTCAGATCTGGTTCCTGCGGGGGAATCTTGCATCACGAATTTCTCACTGGATGTGTTTGAGCTGCTCCCTCGAGGACAGGTGGGAGTTAGAGTAAGCTGTAAAGCTGTTTGTGTTCCGCTCGCCGTGGTGAAGACAAGCACGTGTGAAGAAATAGCACGTTTCCAGTGTGATCAACCCCTTTGGAGTCGTTCTCCAAAGTCTTTGTATGTCTTTGTGACACAAAATAGGGGAGGGACCGGTGATTGGAACCCCCCTGGCTGCATAACTGTGACTGTACTCCTGAAATAAATGCCCTTTACCCACACCTGCCTCTTCATGGTGAACTTGGTACCTCTAGGTTCCTGCGCATCAAGTCCACCCAGGAATCCTTGGGTGGCCCAAAACGGAAGCTCAGGGCTACCAAGGAGAGGGTGATGGTTGGGATCCACCCAGAGGCACCTATGTGGGAAGAAAGGTCTGGAGATTGATCTCTGGAACCGATGGAGCACACATGGTTCTACTCCAACATGCATGACATACAAGAATTGCCCTCGGTCAGATGGCTGAGGATCATACCTTTTCCGGGAGCACCAGTGAGGCCCAAGGGTGTCCAGTAGGCTGTTCACAAGGACACAAGCTGCTAGGCTTCTTCTTAGGTTTTTGGCATCCTCACGGCAGCACTGCGAAGCAGTTGCATCAACATGGGCTCCTGATTAAACCTGCAGTGGAGTCCCTGAGCAGCTCGGATGGGACTGTGTCCCCTCTGGCTTGACTTTCCCTGAAGCCTTGGTCTGGGGGGTGGTTTGAAGCAGAATTGCAGAATCCGGAAGTGGAATTGCAGAATCTGGAAGGGGGCCATTCACATCAGCATTCCAATAAACGTTCCAATAAAATGGATCCTGGATCTCTTAGCTTTACCAAGACGAGCCAGGCCCCAGCTGCTGCAGGGACAGCTGGACCAGGTCCCAGAGGAGAAAGGGGCGTGGTGGGGAGCATTATGGAATGAGGAGACTCAAGATGGGTGTGGCGGTGGAGGGGATTCTGGGCACTGGAGCAATGAGTGGAATTCACAATTACCCAACATGGGGGTGTGCATGCGGCTGGTTAGCAGCCCCTTGTCCAAAGGTGGTGAGGAATTTTACAGTGATTAGGGCAGAGCATTCAACCAAACTCCGGGCTCTTCTGACCGCAGGAGTCTCACACCCATGCAGACGGCCTTGCATAGTTATCTGACAGGCAAGAGAATGTTCTCCACGTGCACGCAGTGTGCTTACACAGAGCACTGAGCCTCAGATAAGACACAGACTGTGTAGCTGGGGAAGGCCTGGTGCAACCTGGGTAGGCAGCCAGGCCTCTGTCTCATAGAGCCCTTGCATCCCCTAAGGATGGAGCTGGACTTCCCTTGGTTTTGTCTGCCCACCCCTTCACCAACAGGCCAAGGAAGAGAAGTCAAGGGGCGCAGATAAACCATCTTGGACTGTCCACTTCGAAAGAGTGAGAGCTGTCAGTCTGGGCTGCACACATCCTGGCTTGTATTTGATGAGGTTCTAGGGGGGGCCAGCAGGGCTCAGAGACTGCCTGGGGCCGCTGTGGGGGGCGGGGGGAAGCCTGTCAGCACT